TCAAAATTGCAATCTTATGCTTTTTTTGGACCTTTTTTGTTATGTTACATAATGTCTATGTATTTCATTATGTGTTAAAAGCAGAACAATGACACAAAATTATGTTTGAAGTCCAAAAAATTAAGCAAGATTTAACCTAATTAAGTTAATGAAGGCTTGTCTTTGTGTGTCAGCCCTACAACCCACTTACCCTCTCGTTTCAAGATGCCCAAATAAGCCGCCTAATTACTTGCACAGCCACATTTACACTTTGCTCTCACTGTTCTTGAGCACTGCTCTTCTGTGACCAACACAGACAATGGAGTGAATGCTGCATATGGGGTCACAGCAGACCCTGGATTAATTATGCAGAGGTAGGAGTCAACACTTCACAACTTCTAATTAACAGCAGATAAAAGGAGAGAGGAGAAGAAAGGGATGGTGAGAGCACGTGATTTGGCATAAAACTGGCAGGATTTCCATTGCAAGAAGGAGTGAGAATTGTCTTCAGGATAAATTCTGAGAAACACAAGCTGGGGTAACCAGTTGTTTCAGATATTACATAAAGTAAACAGATGCTCTACAAGTTCCTTCATGCTATATACTGAACACTTTGCTTTTAATCAAGCAAAGTGTACCCCTACAGGAAATACAGGGTCTTCTAAGAAATACCCAGCTCTGAATGAAGATGGAATCTTTTGCAAAAAAACTGCTGAACTGGTGGCCTCATTTGCTCCTGTATCTGTCCCCATCTCTCCAGGGTAATCATCACCACTTCGGATGACACTGAGGTCAAAGATGAGCAGCTGAAACAGACAAGACTGAAGGTTTTCAAAGTGGTATACCTGCTGTGCTAATCTAATCCACTCAGTGAAAACAGGACTTCAGAGGCAGATGTGAGATGATCTATGTATGCTTCTCAATTATAGATGTGATGTTACACAACAGAAGCTGTCTCTACTTTAGTAGAGATTGTTTTAAAAAAAAAAAGCCTAAAATGCACTTATTCAGAGAAGCATGGCTTGCACTGCTTGGACAGAATATAAAGCTAGAAACATTCAGCTCAAACAGAGTTTTTGAAACACAGTGGGGAAATTATTTGAGAACTGATTGGAGTCAAATTATTGGAGTGTGGATATACTATACTGGTAACCTTTTGCACCAGTACAGTTACACTTACACTGTTACAAATCATAAACCTGGGACTTATTTTTGTGGACACACTTTCTTTAAGTACCCTTGTTTACTTCAGCTAGTGACTGACTACAATTCCCAGAGTGCCTTTCCCAGCCTTCAAACAACATGCTAAAGTTTGATTATGCTTGAAACAGAGAAAGTGATAAAACAACAGAACTTTCCTGTGTGAGAATAAGTGTCAGACGTGCCCTTAACTCACAATGCAACGTCTGGTGGCTGTACTTCATTCTAGTCTTTGAAGTCTTTTTGTCATTGAAAACACTGGTATGCCTGCCTCACTGATTAACTCTTGAACACTAGCGTATAATAGAGATTCTAAGGGGGGGAACCTTTGTTGTTTGTCTTCAGGAGGAGTTTCAACCAAGCTTGTATGCAAGCTAGATTAAATTGTAAAGAGCTGAGCAAGAGCAAGCATGCGTCTACATAACTACTCCCATGTTTTTCCTCAGCTCCAGCTGAGTAGAAAGGAGTCATTCTCATTTTCACAGTGGGCCCATACCTTGCCCATCCCTTCCAGCGGTCCTGTTACTGCCAGCAGAGAATGTGGATACGCTAGGTACACACTGTGGGCTCTGTCCACCCTGCTCCACTGTTGCATCTCGCCATGCCCAAACACTGAGCTCAAAATAGAATCCAACCTCATTTCATGCCTCATGCCTCTAAATTTGCACCAGAGGGGATGCTACAATTGTGATAGATAGTGTGAGTAAATTCAGAAGTCTGTTTGTCTGACAGATGTTTTACTTCTCAGTGGGACAAACCACAGACCTTTGTTTTAAAGAATGCCATTTTTTTTCCTATGAGGAACAAGCTTTTCTGCCCAATTTTGTCCATAGTCTTAACTCATTCCTACCTGAGCAACTATAGCATTCAAGAATCCATTTTAGCGCAACACTAGAGGCAGCAGGTGGCAACCAGCTCTCCTTTTAGGGTAATAGAAGGTTCCAGGTTCAAGTCCTGGCTGACCTGGGACCTTTCTGTGTGGAGTTTGTATGCTCTCTCTGTGCCTGTGTGGGTTTTCTCTGGGTACTCCAGCTTCCTCCCACAGTCCAAAGACAAGCAGCATAGGTTGATTGGTGACTCTAAATTGCCTGTAGGAGTGAGTGTGGGTGTGTGTGGTTGTTTGTCTACATGTCAGCCCTACGATAGACTCGCGACCTGTCCAGGATGTATCCCGCCTCTTGCCCAGTGTTGTTGGGATTGGCCCCCATCTGACATTGTTTTATTAATCATGGCAGGATATGAGGTTTTATAAGATGGCATTTTGTTTGAATCCCTCGATCTATGGCCATTTTCACATTGGACTATGTTTCTTCTTTCTGGTAATATATGTATGAGGATTTTGATGATATTCAGTGAGAAGAGAAGTGATTGCTGGCATTTTGCCTGTATTTATGTGTTTAGCAATCTACTGCAGAGAGAAAGCTGAGAGATGCCACTTAGATCTGAGAAAAACCAAACAGAATCTGCTGCAGGTACATACTATACAGGCAGCTAAGTGCATGCATACTGTGAATTTGAACCTGCTAAACATAGCCTCCGCGTAACGCTGTGGCATCCTGGGACATGGCGAGAAACATCCAGTGATATCTACCATACGTCAAAACCAAAGGTTTTAACTTTGCTTTGAGTTTGCATGTTACACCACTCAAGGGAATATGACTGACAGACGTGAATGATAAATGAGAAAGGTTTTCATGTTGCGTTTGGCTCTGTTACACATGCTGTTCTGCTCAGAGGGCTATTACAGCATCCTGTGTGTTTGTGATCCCTGCAGCCCCCTATTCAGGGTACTGAGATGATCCCTTAAGTCACACATAAAATCTGAGTTGCACAGTCACCTTTTATCCTCAGTCTCACTCGTGGCTTACTGCTCGCTCTATTTTCCCTCTCACTCTGTTTGCTCCTGTGTCAAAGAGCACATGTGCCTGTTGGAAAGGTTGGTGGTAAATGTGGTAAATGAAGCAAACAGGCGTCTCTTTTCACTCTACTGAGAAGTACTCAGCCTCCCACCTCTCTTAAAATTGACTGCATTTAGTATCAGCCCCCCACTCTCTAGCCATTAGCCATTGCTCTCCATCAGTGGGTCCTGAGTAGTCAGGTTGTATGTGTTGGAGGGGGCGGTGGACCGATTCTGTTTATCACATAACACCACTTGTGTGACTAGCAGGACTTCATTCCCATGAAGCACTGCTGCAGCTAGGTTGGCAGAAAGAACTGGGCGCTGTGTTGATGAGGATCATGACATTTTCTAATTGTGCTTTGGTTTGTTAGAAACAGGAGCTGAGTAAATGTAATATTTCCTGAAAGGCAAACAGGGACATCAATTAACCAAGAAGTGCCACTTCCCTCCCTGATGGCGATGAACACAGAAAAATGTCTGATGTAACAGTGCAACTCATCACGAAATATTCTGTGTGTGATATGATGGCCACGTACTGCCGTAGGGCACATTCACCGTGTAACTCAAATCGTAACTTTTTTTTTTCGGATGAACACTTATTCTCTAAACATCGACAGCTTTTGGAATTAAACCCTCTATTTCTCTCATTTGGTTTGAAGTGTCTGTGCTTTTGGGAACATGGATAAGTGATATGCTCTCACTTAGTTTTAATAAAAATGCGATCACTATAACAAGCAATACTTGTTGTCTGTTCAAAAACAGCAATCATAATTAGGCAATTAAGAGGAAAACAGCAGTTATATATAAAATAGTGAGCTGCTTGAATGAGTTTTAAACGTTTCTTAGTATAAAAGATGTCCTGTGAATTCTGTAAGCCTATGAGTAACCTTACAGCTCTTTGATACTGTAGTTTCTCATATGAAATGTACAAAATTTGATAAAGGTCATCAACCACTCAAATCCTACTGAATGTATTCACATTAGAGCAGCAATAACAAATAAAGATTAACAACTGTTAGGACTGTGATTTGTCCTGACACAGCAAAGCATAACAGAGATCTCAGATGAAGCCACAAAACAAGTGAAGCCAGACTAATCGAAGACATCATTCAGCCACAAGCAGCAGCAGTTACAGCTCAGGCAGTTACTACTGTGCACAAAGAAATGATGCAAACCTTCTGAAGTGATGGAGGGCAAGAAAATAAATGATGAACTGACAGGTTTTCTCTTCAAAGAACCAGCTGCTTCAAGCCACGTTTCTACTGTGACTCCAACCTCAATAAGCTCCAGTGAAGCAAACGTTAGCTCCATTGTCTGCTGCAACCAGGAGCAACAACGATGCTTTAAGCAATTACTTGTCAGAGTGAGGGAGAGCACACATTTAGATTCAGCTTTAAAAATGATGAAGATGGGAAGCAATAAAGTGAATATAATTTACTCACTCTTTTCTTGTTCTGTACAACACTCACACGTCACATGAACGGGCAGCTCTTGTACTGTGCAGTAAATTCAGGTTAATGTAAAGAGGGATGATGAAAGGGCTGAAGAATGTCAAAATACACCTGTAGTTGATAAAACAATGTAGCGGGGTGATTTCTATCATCCTACCAGCTCTTGCAGTAACAACAGCTTAATGTATATTCTCACATGCAGTTATTTATGTTTCCCTTCCTCTAACTGGATCCATCCACATGGATCTGCATCTAAACTTAGTTCAGTCACACCATCAGTCTGCACCCTTAAACTCTCAGTGACTCTTAGCAGCACATTTTATTAAAGCATCAGAACTCTCAAAACTTATCTGAAATCCACTGTGCCAGGTGGGGCTAGGACTAATTGCCTGGTTGTGTGCGCCAATAGTTCACATATAAACATGTGCCACTGCATGGTCTGCATCTCACAGCTCATGTAAACGACTCACTTTTGTAGCTGGCACTCCAAGGCTGATATCCATAATACCCGGTGATCCTCAATATTCGCTCTTCTATAGATGCGCTGTTGATATCCTCAACTGAGCGGGAGGACTTGAGATCCTCTTTAATGGCCTCGTCCACCACCAGGTACTTGAGCTGTCTGAGCTGAGGGCTGATGTCCGAAAGCCTTCTGGGGCTCACCTCGGGCGACTTGCGCATCCCGCTGGTAAGAGAGAACAAGACAAAATGAGGCCGTTTGAGAAAAGGGAAAGGGAGCCTGTATATGATTTGATGTTCGTCTTGACTGAACCATGAAAGCCAGGACTTTATGTTCCACGGGGCCCCTGCAGCGCCTCTCTTGAACACAGAAATCAACATCCTTCACTGGCCCTGCGTCCGCACAGCAACACTGTGAAAGGCACTAAGCGAAAGTGACTGGTCCTGCAACAGCTGTATAGTACTCTCTGTGTGTTTCCCATTATAGGCTTCTAGGAATTTGAAATCAACGAATCTATCATGCATGATGGAGAAGCAACACTTGTGCCACGTTATGCATCAGCACTGCGCCCAGCCTACTCTCTCACATCATTTTATCACAGTTACCCTGTGTGCAGCGGTGAAATTAAGAAACAATCGTTGTATATTGCACCAATAAAACTCTGTGGTATTGTGTATCTGACAAAGAAGCGACCTGACCTGGCAGGCTCTCAGCTTTATGAACCCGCAAAACCGGACTGACTCACTTAAGAGAAAATCGGTGTGTAAAAATTTCCCTTGTGCTGCTATTGTAAATCCTAATCATGCACCTTGTTTTTTTCTTTTTAGAGAATTGTAATCTGACTTCAAACTATTATTAGGCTGTTGTCCTCGGTTAAATTTAAGACATCGATCATATTCACAAAGATTAGTCTCTCTCCAGCTCGCAGTATTTTAAAACCCCTGCCCAGTTTACTTTATCAATGCACCTGAAATCAAGTGCGCAACAGGTGCGGTCTGCTTCCTGTCGCTCGGCTTCAAAGCATTTATAAAAGTTTAAATGTCTTACATCGGCATCAAAGTAGCAGGAGGTCCAAGGTAGCACATACAGTCCCGGTGAGGCCGACCGACCCGGTCCCACACAGTGCCCTCTCTATCACCGTACATTCTCAAGGCCACTATACAAGGCAGCTATTGTAAATATAAATCCTCATCAAGGCTGACTGAAACAAAGTACTATAGTCCTGCTTCCATAAACATATGCCTGGCTACTACAGCACAGCGTCTCCACATTAAGAGGGTGCGCTCTGCTGTGGATGCTGCTGGGTGCTGGAAGCACCGCAACACCGCCATCTACCGGATTCACTAGACTGATCATCATGGACAAATCTGAAATAGAGAGAATAAACTGGACCAGCTGTAATCCTTCTAGAACTGGGGTATCTGAGCAACCATGTCAGAACCTTGACATCTACCAGAGGGCCTCGACCTTTTTATGCAAGGTCATCTAAGTATAGCCTAGAGCACATGAGATTTCCAGTGTATGCTTTGTTATATGGTGAAATATAAATTAGAACTGACCTTGCTGTTCCTCTCCAGCCTCACAAGGAACCCTGGTGGCCCCGAATTTATATAGAATTATAATGACTCATCTCTCTCTTGTATTTGTTCTAAAATGTCTGGAAACATATTTTTCTGTGGCCCTGTAGCTGAAAAACTCCGGTTATCTTCAGTGAAGCTGTCATATGTAGACAAGCACAGCAAGTCTCCTTAGCTCAAGATGAAAAATAAACACATATAACCCTACTTTGAAGTGTGAAGTAGGTGTTTTATTTTTAATATAATTGTGCCATTTATTTGTGGCTCAGAACAGTATTGAGTGTTCTGTGTGCTGAGATTTGTTTTCAAAAGTCTATCTAGCAAAACAATGGATGGAGATGTGAGGAGCACATAAAACTGCACAACTGTCTCATCTGTCAAACAGCAAAGCCCCTGCTTATGTCTTATGTATAGCATACAAGTATATCATAGAAATACTGGCTGCACAAGTTCAAGCTGTTAAAAACATTTCAGAGCAGATGGACCAGCATACCAGCACTGTTTCCCAGCAACTACCACTACAGATGTTGCAACGCTTCATGGGCAAATAGGGGTCCCCTGTGGTCTATTATTCATAGTCTACTTTTCTTAAGGAGCATGCCAGCATTTTAGGATGATGGCAAGGCCCATATTTCAGCTGTCTGGGTGAATAGAGAGACACATTAAATAGCAGAAATGTTGTTTCTGTACAATACCACCAAATCAGAGACAATTACAGGGGAAATGGTTGATTACACCCAATCAGATCTGTGCTTCCAGTAATGGGTTAATTACTGTACGTTCACTCGCGGTGATTATATTGACTTGGAAATTGAAATCAAGTAAAGCATCGTTGTCTCTTGGGCGCACTTGTGTGAATTGTTCAACAAAATATCACATTTTTGTCGTGAAAAAGGCAGCTCATTACTGTCAACAAGATTTATTTTATTTTATTAAAGCTTCCTCAGATTATGTACATTTCATGTGCATTCTGTATTTCTATATAAAGTGTAATAAAATGTTGATAAAATGTATTACTTAGCCATTGCTCTCCATCAGTGGGTCCTGAGTAGTAGTTATTACTTCCTAGATAAACCTAAGTAGTACACATAGTTCCAGCAGTCAGGAAAAGTGGAGGTCTACCTTGCATGAATGGGGTAGTGTTGCCCATACGTCCCAGGTCTGTGGTCCCTTTGCTGCACTGTGCTGTGCTCCTGACCGCAGAGAGCAGCACAAGAACACAACTATATATTTTTTTTAAGAAAGGTGTTGCATCAATCAGTGACAAGCCACACCTCATAAGTCCACACAGTGGAGGGGAAGAGAGGAAAAGGTGCTTACCTGAGCAAGAAAAGTGGAGTCTAGTCATCAATAAGCGGATCAACACTTCCCATTGACAGTGTCAGTATGGAGAGGATCAGGTTCGTCTTGCTTAATGTACCTCTCAAGTTCACAGCTCAGCCAAAGCCAAATCAATTCTCATTGTTCGACCCTCTGCTTTGCCAGAAACTCTACGATGTGGACACCTTATCTGTGACACCCAGCCTATAAATATCAAAACAGCTTGATATAAAGGGATTGCATATTCAAGCGATTCACTGGCAACCAGAACACCATCTTTCACTTCAGCAGGGCTCTAATAGCGATTTAATTCGTGCCCCAAACTACAACACACAGCTCACTCCTTTCTAAATATGGATCAGAGATGAAGTGAGAGCCAAATCTCAAGGCCAAGATTCTGTCCATTAAACGAACAGAGTGAGGATGAAGCAAATGTTTGATTCATGCACCGAATAGAAGACACTGATATTACAGTTTTCTGATGATCAATCCATTTTGATTTAAGAGGCCCGAGGGAACTTTTTCACAGCTGATCATTTGTCTTGTCTCAATAAGAAAAGCACAGGTGGAACTAACAAGATTAACAATGGCTTCATTCAATTACATGTCTCTGTAAGCTGTGACAGTGAGCTTGTTTTCACAGTATAGAATACAGTACCAGATGCAGTTATTACTAATGGTATTAATAACATCTTTGTAGTTCTCTAAATGAGTTTTGACAGAAAGGTTTATTACTTTTGTTGATTAAAAGCACTTCCTAATGTCAAATTTAAACCTTTGCTCTAATCTATTTTATGCACAATACTTTTCTCTGACCTTGTGCTGAAGAGCCCAGTCAAAACAAAAGCCTGCATGTTTGAGACCTTGAGCCATTTTCTCCGTCATTTCTATTATTTCTCTTATCTTCCTGTGTCCAGTTGCATACCATTTAAAAAGTATGATGTAAATCCTCAGTCTTCTCACCATCAATATTTAATTCAACTCTCAGCCTGGAAACAGTGGCAGGCCACTGCTGATTGGCCAGCGCAGGGAGAGAAGTCAGTCTCTGAGCCAGTAAAATAGGTCACATTCCCTACTTCGTACTTAACCACTTTAATGTTTTATGAACATTTTATTTCTCACTGCTAAGGATTTGACTGGTGACTTTTTGCATCTGCATATTCCAAAACAAGGAGCAATTTACTGTTGTAATCCAGAGAGACACATTTATTGCTGTGGTGCTGAAGGAGACATTATCTGTTGAAATGTTATTTCAGCCAGGTAAAAACATAAACCTTTACGGAACTGGTGCCCTGTAGTCCCCAGGGCCAGTGTGAATTCTTTAGGGCATATTTGTTATTTAGCTGTATTACTGTTATCGTTAAGGTTGACACACAGCTGGAGAGTAGCTGTCACAATCCCTATGGAGAAGAGGACCTGCTGATGCTATTATGTGTCAACATGGGATCAGAGGAATGGTTCAGGATACAGTTCTTGTTACCATTGCTAACTCTGAGAGACGAGACAGTCCAAGTAACTTCAAAACAGTGCTGATTTATTCAAAGGATCACAGGTAAAATGAACATTACACGCTCAGGTATCTTGCACCTCCATCCTGCACGCAGGCAGATGTAAGATGAAAGACCCTGACCCCACCAGGCCTATACATTATATCCCCTCGGTTGGGCTAGCCCCATACTACACAGAAACGTCAACCGAGATGTCTCTGTTACCAGCTTCGCAGCTGGTCATAGCAGTAGTCAAAACATGAAGCAAATCAATGTGTGTGTCTGTTTGTGTCTGTTGGTTAAGTGGTGTGTAGCTAAAAACATTCTCACAC